ATACGTATATATCAGTTAAACCATCACTAAAATATTTATGTACCATATAAATGACTTACGCTTCTTTTTCTGTATTTTGTGCGTTGTGAGGCCATATCAGGGCGCTGTTTTCGATTTAGGTCAAGTAAATCATCGTTACCAGCAATTGAAGGCTATATCAATAATAATAATAATAATCATAATAATAATAAATAAAAAATAAATGGATAAATATATATATATATATATATTAATGATATAATTAATATTAATGATTACATACATCAGAATTTCTTGAGGTAACTTCATTCTTTAATCCGGTCAAAATATTTAGCACATCGTAAGCTCTGTTTATTATATTTGTCAATTGAACTTCATTAACTTGAAATGTAATAGAATTCCATGAACCTTGACTAAGGCGCACATCACGATACTGAGAGGCAAACTGAGAAATTTGACTACAATGGTCAACGACCTAATTATAATAACCGTATTTTATCAATCACATTAACACAAAAAAAAAAAAAATTAAAATAAAAAAATTAAATAAATAAAATAAAAAAATGCATGCTGACAATTTTTACCTTTCCCAATTTAACCAAAGGTGGCTCAGTAGTTTGAACATAAGGAGATTCGGAATTATCTCTACTTAGGTAAGAACCATATTGGGGATAATTAGAATGTTGTGGTGGAACAGGAAGACCATGACCGAATCGCGTCGCCTGTTGCTGGTCATATAAGTACGGTGGTGGTGGTAGCGAATGAATAGGAGATTGTAAAGGTTGTTGATAATGATAAGGCTGTTGATGCTCGACAGGTTGCCAGGGCTGTCGTTGCGGTGCAGATGTACCATAAGAATTTGAATTAATTGACGGTAGAGAAGGACCATACGAAGGTTTTCTTATCGTCGGTCGAGGATGTATGTCATCAGTCATCGAACTTTGACTCGATTCATGATAACCAGGATAACTTTCGATTTTATTTAAAGAAGATAATTGAGATCCCATCGAGGAATGGTTAGGTTGATTAGGAGCGATCGGTGAGTTATGAATGGCTGGGTTTAAAATGTGCTGCGGCGGCTTTGAGAATTGTATCGAAGGAGGTAAGGGAGTTGTCGTATCTTGCAGAATTGACGTCAACGGTGGAAGATGTTGACCCCCTTTTTCGTTCAGAGGTTCAACAATGCTATGAAATGAATAAAATTTAATTGAAAAAAAAAAAAATTTTTTTATAAGGATATTAATGGAAGAATATGAATATATGCGTTTAAAGATACTTACGGTGGTGATGGTAAACTACGAATATGTTCGATTGAAGAATTAGACGTTGGAAACTCTGGAATTTTCTTTGGCGGAGGATGGCCAATCGGTGGCAAAGAACAAATCGAATTCATGTCCATTATATATAATCCTCGAGCGAAATTTCGTACTATAAATTTAAAGAATCAAAATATGTACGTATAATAAACAATCATTAAGTTCGAACTCGGAAAAGATGTATACCAAACTATAACAAAATTCACCAAATTTTTTGAGAAGTATTTATAACCGATGATACTACTAAAGAAGCCTTAGATAGGCAAAAGAAAAGAATTTTACGAAATCAACTATAGGTATGTTTTTAGTTAGGCAACGATACAGGAGAAACAAAAATATCCAGAGCACTAATATAAATGAAAACCGAATGCTCGCTAAGTAAATAAGTAATATTTGAAAGAGGGCTGTATAATGAGAAGTGGAAAAAACTTCACAGCAAAGGGGGAAGAGGTGTATTTATATACTAAAATAATAAATCGTTAACCGATATTATACTGTATTTACTGTATTTGATGATTGAGCATTCATCGATGCAGATAAACAACCGTATTCATCATTCATTCATGTATATACACGATTTGCAATGAATAGTGATATTTTAGTGGTACAATGAACGGTCCAGATTTGTTCTTTAATGTAATTATGTTACAATATATTGTAAAGAAAATCTTAAAGTATAAAGCAAAAATAGCTCAAATGTTGACTGACACTTGTACGCTGTATAACATGTATAACAGTGATATAGCTGTAATTATTCGACTATGTAAAGAAAGGGATTTATAATTTGAATCACTCTTGTGACCATCTCCAATTCAGTGACTAATTCAGTGACTAATTCAGTGACTAATATTCAGTGACTAATTCAGTTACTAATTCAGTGACTAATTTAGTGACTAATTCAGTGACTAATTCAGTGACTTTATGCATAATCATTCAGAAATCACCCACCAACCTATTTCCCCTATTTCATGATATCCTATTCCACGATCTCACGATTTATATGTACATACCAAATCAAGAAAATCGTCGATTTCGTCCAAATTTAGATCGTTTAAAGAGTAGAATTGTCTTAAACGGATTACATACGTATGTACGTACGTACGTATGTGCTTAAATGATGCAAGTGATATCCTATGTTTCAATTCTAACCTTGACGAATCGTTTACTTTGCGCATATCACTTGCATCTACCGTAGCAAACGTTAAATTTACACCGTTATCGAAATGATGCATAATTAAAAATCTTATCTGCTTTATTTTTTTAAATATCGACCTGCATGCCTGCACAGTTGAGATATTGAGATATTTAATCACATTGACCGATTAAATTTTTAATACCTGACACCAACCGGACACGGAAATTAATATCAGCAATCAATCTTTTTTTAGTAGTACCTTTTAGTTCATTTATGAAGTTAAGTGCGTGCGTACGTAAGTACGTAAATACGTATGTACGTACGTACGTACGTAAGTACGTAAATACGTATGTACGTACGTACGTACGTACGTATGTACGTACATACTTTTATCTCACATTTCACATCCAGGTTAATCTCATATCTCACGTTAATCCAATCTCAGTTAAGCTATTAATCTACGTATAAAGCGATCATGTATTCTATGACGATCATGAACATTTTAGATAATATTATAATGATACCGATAGTCAAAAGTAAATGCGTGGTGTACCCGATGATCGACCTCTGCACAGATATCGTGTGGAACTCTTTTGTTTTAATACATGTAAGAGGTCTCGTATGATTTTTGAATTAGTATGGAAAACATGATAATTGGATGGTCAATAACATGTAGAATAATATGTAGAATGATATGTAGAATGTGCATATATATACTTGTACGAACTTGTAAGTAAATAAGCTCCAGCTCCCATCTTCCTTGTTCTCGATCATGCCTGTTTTAAAAATGACATAATTTTAACGTTATCTGTTATATACCTATGTTACAACATCTTGGGTTATAACTTCTCAAGTTATATTAGTTTCAATATCACTTAAACGTATACATTTTTAAGTATGCTGTGACACTATGTTGCAACTTGATTAAGATGAAAACCTTAGTTTATCGTTATTACAGTATTAGTGTGCTATTCAACTTATCGCTCTACTTTTATGTAGTTTATGTACGATTGTGCTTACGTAGACACGAGATCGTCAATCTTATGCCGTAAACCGCATCTATTTGGTCATTTGCACTTTTATACATCCGTACGTACAGACCAAAGAAGTCAAGTCATGTGTTGCTAAACAATATTTAAATATCAAGTAAAATACATTGTAACTCATTATCATACATACATATGTCTTGTGCTAAATTATCGATGAATTTATCTTTTTTCCATTCGATAAGAACTATTTCAAGTTTTGGAACAATAGTGTTAGCATAGATAAACTAACGCTAATCCATAAATGTTTAAAAGGGAGCGGTGATAATTTACTGATAAGTAAAAATAGGTCGGGTCCTTGAAATAACGGATCGAGTATCTCTGCATATATCACGTGACAACGCATAGCGGGCTTTAATGCTGATTGGTCAATCACTTATATTACACCGCATATCATCTGACTTTAAACGA